TGTCAAGATCAAAACAAATAATTATTTTGTGCAACCTTATATGAAATTGCAAGTCCCGTGAAATGTTCGGTGACTGAGTTATCGTCATTGTGACATACTTATGATGTTTTCTAATTTACAGCAACAACTGCATACAATGATTTGGCAACAATTTTGAAGCATCTGAAATTTAATATTAATGATGTTGTAACCAACTGTTGACGATTACGACAATGGCGAACACGTTTACCTCTTATGAATGTGTATGGACATGAGCTAAGCATTACATCAAAAGATACTCCGTCTACCAGCAGGCCATTGAAGCAAGCTTATACAATGTCAATACAGGATATCATTCAACGGTGTCTTGACAATCCAAAAATTTATTCAAGAATGTATTTTGGGAGTGGTATTGAAGTAGAAAAAAAGACAGGATTCTGGCATGGGGAGCTTTGGAAAAAGTCGCCCTTATTTGGCAAAGAAGCTCTGTACATAGACAAAGGTTTGCTTTCTTTTAGTTTGTGCTATAAGTTATATATTTTAGCATAATTTGATTAAATTCCTTTTTCTAGTTACTTATAAAGTAGGCGAATGCATATTTTGCCGAACAGATAAACATGGACAATTTATTGCGAGAATCCACGCTATTATCAAGGTTGAAGAGGACTATTGCTTTAAGGTTGATAAACTTTTATGTTATGATCAACTACCTTCTCGACTACAGAATGCAAAAAGGAGATACAATGCTAGTATATCACGATGGTTTTTGGAGGGATACCCGCTTGTCATACGTAAACAAGAAGTAATATCTCACGTATCAATCTGGTTTCAAGATAGTGTTGAGCCCAACGAGTACCAGTACAAGATTGAAGAAATTCTCTATTGTATTCATAACTCTTGGAAAATGCGGCCAATATCTAAACGATGTCTATTACCTGTGGAATACATACCCCCATTTAAACCACTGCCCGCTTTCCCAGTTCTTAAAATTTTCATAGATTTGTATGCCGACGAATTTGGTGCTTATCGTAATCTTTTTTATAAGCTTAATGGTGTATACGTGCAGTTTGGAAATATGCCTTTTAGCATGCGAAAACAGATTAAAAATCATTTTTTAATTGGCTTTGTGCCTTTTGGTGGCTGTCTGAGTGACTTCTTGAAACCGTTCTGTAACGAGATAAGAGCTCTTCAACAGGGTGTCTTTATGTCAACAAGGCATGGCCAATTCTGGGTGGTTGCTGGAATAGGTTGTGTTACAGCAGACCTACCACAAGGAAATGACTTTGCTAGAGTGAAACGACACGGAGCGAAACATGGCTGTCGTACATGCGCAGCAGATCAGATACATTTGACAGATTCGAAATACGATTATATTGCCAATGCACGTTTTCACCAAGAGACTGAAAGATATCATATGCAATTAAAAGCACTTCATACATCGACAGCCAAAGAACTATTAGCAACAAAACATGGAATTTCACTGAAGCAAGGACCCCTTGATACACTAGTATGGGATTATCATGTACAAACGCCACAGGATGCTTACCATTCTATGGCAGGAAAAACTTTGAGACTGTTAAATATTACAATGAACTTGCTCAACACTCGAGGAGAAGCAGCATGGCTCTACCATTGGAAACACATTGAAAAACCAGTAGGCTGGTCGACATTACCAAATCCATTATCTCATTTACACAGTTTTAACTTCAGTGATGTCTTGAGAGCAGTGATGATAGCACCATTTATTCTGCGACGTTTTCTGATGCCTACTAAAATTAAAACTCATATTCTTCATAGACTCAAAGAACAATTGGGTTTAAAATGGGACAGTCAAGTTTCAAACCAATTGATTAACTGTTGGGTAATTGTTTCCAAATCTCTAAAAATGGTATTTTCCAGAAGCTTCACAGAATCGGATTATGAGACTCTGGCAACCACTCTAAATGAAGAGCATGACATTCTTGTTAAGGTATGGGCATACAATTAACCATTTATTTGACATTTAAAGATGATCGGCATTCTATTACCAAATATTTTGTTACTCATTGTCTTTTGAATGCAGGTGTTCCCAGATATGTTTAAGAATCTCCCAAATGTTCACGTGAATCTACATCTACCACAACATGCTCGCAATTTTGCAACACTTCTGAATACGTCTGTGGGGACCAAAGAAATGGTTCACCGAATCTTCAAAAATATGGTGCCACATACAAACAAAAAGAATTTGGAATGGGATCTTACTCGTCGGTATAATACACATCAAGCATTGCAGTTTATAATGGATGGGGGTGAAGATATAAGATTTCTGGGCCAGCATAGTCAGCTTGTCGACATGATATCAGATGATTGTATATCACAGTTATTATCTGGATGGTTTGCTATAGACATGGATGATGAAACTGCTGGCAAAGAAGATGGGTGAGTTTTCTCAAATGACTTTACAAATAAATTGAGTAAATTTATCCGCCACTATTATTGGTCATAAATCAAAATTATCATAAAAATTTAACCCAATAATCTGAATTATTATGGAAAAGCAGTGGATGAATACTCGATCATTGCTTTATTGTTATTGACTAATTTCTATTAAGTCCCCAAATAGGTAGAACAGTTTCACGCCTACCTTACTTCGACAAAATTATCCTGCATAGAAGATGGGACAGATATCAAATAACAGAAGCAGGATTCTCGGATAGGCTGAGTCCCTGCAACCTGCTTTATAGGGATCTTGTACAGTCATATTCAGATGACCTGAATATGGATGCGGCATTGATCAACACCAAAATTGAATATTACACCAATATTACTTACAGGATAACAGAAGATGATGGAAGTGGTAAGGTGATAAATTACACATTGGTGATATTGTTAATATGGATGAGGAGATTGAGCAGGTAGCATTCGCAAGGGTTAAAGCAATTCTTCGCCACCAAGGAAACAATACCAACTATTATGCATTCTTGGTATTTGATTGGTTTGAAGCAGTCAATGAGGATGATAGTATTCTTCAGTGCCCATATTATGATCTGCAAAACAATGGTAAGACACAATGGCATCAAGTCTTTCCAATAACAGTCGTGGATGATATGTCACATAACCATTTTGTTCATGCATGCACCAGCACATGCAATGGCTGTCATGATATTACCAATCATTGCTATATTCAGAACATTTTCTCCTACAATGCAATCTAGTTACGAAACACTCCTAAGTCCATAAAATTACAGGTTTGTATGATATGCAAAAGGGAAATTAACATTATTGATAGAGTTATGGGATGTTTGTTTGTTTATTTTAAATATGGCATGATTACAAACAATCATACCACTATGCAATTGCTTATTTTATGCTAGTATATCGAAAATGGTCACATCAATGATGGAATGTCAAATTGCCGATCACAAATAAATAAAAACATTGATCACACCATTGTCTCACATCACGTTTTGTCATATACTTTAACTCAGGTATGTGTTAATACTTGGCTTTATAGAATCAATTAATGCAGGCAACATACCACACCTTTGAAATACTGTACTTTTTACCTGCAAGAAATCTGTACTTCTCGAGCTGGAAATATAAGCACTCTCACGTCCTTGAAATAGACTGTCCGTGGTGCAAGGTATTGGGTACTTAATCACACTCTCGAAAGTAGTCCGTCTTTGAACTTTTTTACTTGTAATGTATCAGTCCTTGTAGAACGGGTCTGGTGGTTTAATTTCTGTCTGATTATCACAACTCAATGAACTATATATCAATAGTATGGACTTGTACACTGACGATTGCTCAATATCAACAGTTGCAACACTACTATATATGTGTAATGATTTTAGCACATCTAATATACTACAATAAAACATTGACAACAACAAAAACAACAACAAAAAGCTTGAAAAGTTTTTCAACTGTCGGGGCTTTCATTGTAAAAAGAATCAGCGACATATTTGCTCAAACATATGAAAATCAGTGTTTGAGTTTGGATTGAGGGATGATTGCAATTCGGAGATTTATAACAATTTATAGAATATCCTTACCAGGTTGTTTCATACATATTAACTTGAATCAGCAGAGGATTAAATGAAATGATGAACATGAACGACTGTAGCATATATAAGAATAATTAGGGGAAAGTGAAATGATGACAATGAAAACGTGATAATAGGGGATTGCTTAATATTAATTATAACGATAATGCCTACGTGCATGATAGATCAAGATTGTTGTAAAGGTTCGGTTCTGACATTTTTAAGGTCACATTAATATTAACTCAAAGGTTTAATAGCAGTCATCTTAATTTATCTGCTAAGAGAGGTCGTATCACACACGGGACATCAAATGGATTCCTCGTTCCGTGAAATTTACTATATAGCTCATGAGACTTTTCTCTTCAAATTTTGTAGCATGCAGCAATTAACGCCAAATTAAATCCCATCATTTTATAATCGAGCGGTTATCTACCCAAATCTAAAATTTTCAGGGAAGAGTTTTTATAACAAGTTTAATAGTGAGGAAATACTTTGGCGTGAGTTATTCGAAACTAAAGCCTACACGTTTTGCCAGCCTAATAATGCTATACTTGTTATAGAAATGATCTACAAACCAACAAGCTTAATGTGGAAACAGCCCCGCGTAATTGTTGTTATTGTTATTGTTCTCGCTGTCTCATGAGTGACATAACTTTAGACTGTCTCTCCTGACTATCTAGGATTCTTGTAGCTTTGAAAAACCCTGTTGACGCGCAGAGCCGGTTTAATTGCGACTTTCTACTTTGTGTACCAACGATTGCTACTCCAGAAACTGTCCCTTGTTCGGTTGGTTCAAGATACGCCTTCAGTCCATTGAAGGAGAAGTAGAAGTCTAACTCTGGTGTCTTGCCATTGCACGTCAGAGTTTGTATTTGATTTTGTCAATTATGTTTGTTCATTAACATTAATACTGTCTTATGTTTACCCGATATAATTGTTGGTCGAAGACATTAATCTGTCTGTTAACATCAATATTAAGGAGAGCTCATGATTATATTTGTTTGTCGTAATCGATTGCTTTATCAGAACACTCTTCGTGTAATAATAGCTTGTCTGGATATTGACAACGTTGTTTCGGTAAATTTCTTCAATCTTGACGTTAGAAGAATCGCGCCAATCAAGAGTGAGTTTTAGTACTATAATTAAGGCAAGTATATATAGCATGCTATTTTTTGACAGTTTCTTTTGCGATCAATGTATGAATCACAACATTGATACTAATATGTGTCATTTACATAATATTACATTAAAGGCTTATTACTGTTTGAATGGGAGGCATTTATTTCATCGACAATCATTTCACCGACAGTACACTTCACCGACAGTCATTTCACGTGACACATT